AGACTGAAGAACAAAACGACAGCAACTTGTCTGTTCCCCTTCCCCTAATTCCCCAGCACTGTTCCCATCCCCCCAATTACCCAATAAAAAAAATCTTTAAAAAAAAAAAAAAAGAGAGTTAAGGTTGCTTCCTTCATTCCTTAAAGCGAAAAGTCCACAGTCCCAGGGACTGGGTCTCAGGCAGACAGGATAAAAGAGTATACCTCCAGGGCAGAACTGACAGTTCTTCCCAAAACAAAGAAATGAAGTTCAGGGACAAGGGCTATGGCCTTCCTGGGCTTTCACACACTGAACTTGATCCCAGGCAGGCAGTGAGTGCTGAGGGCACCTACCAAGTCTGAGGCCAGTCAGGGCAGCACCCATGGCTAGGTATGTCCTTGACCCTCCCTAGAAACAGGTATGTGGGCCCCTCGCCACTGCCTGCCCTCACAGACTCAAGTATCTGGGGTCCCAGGCTAGAGAAGGGTGGGAAGGAAAGAGCTGCCCTACATGGATGGTTCCATAGCCTCAAGCTAGTGCTATCAACACAGTGAAGGGAGCTCAGGCAGCTGCCAGGGTATGATGAATGACCCAGAGTTGGGGTCCAGGGAAAAACAGAGACAGGCTTGCAGGAGTGTGAGTCCTAGGAGAATGGAGCTTGAGCGTTTAATTGGGGATATCCTACAGAAGGGGAAAGGTGGTCCTTCCCTCAGCCAGACTCCTCCAGACCCAGTTTTGATGAAAAACTGGGAGCTCACAAAAAGAGGGAGCTCACAGTGGGGGGCTGGAGGTGAGGAAGAGGGTTATACGGTATTTTCCTGTCGTTGGGGAGTGAGTGGGGGTGGAGGAAGGATTTTCAACTCAGGATACCCGCCTTCATGCAAGAATTATTTGAACAGCCAGACAAGGTCTTGCCCTCCTGAAGACTATCTTAAACTAGTCTCAGGGGATCAAAGATCCGAGGACGAGGGGGCTCCCGAGTCCAAGTCCCAGGACCGAGGGGGTGGGGTCGTGAGTCCAAGGGGTTGGAGTCGCGGGTTCGAGGGGCTGGGGTCCCAGGTCCGAGTCGGTTGCACCCCTCGCCTGCCCGCCCGGGCCCCACGCTCACTGTCCATGCCGGGGAAGGGCAGCGGCTGCGCCCCGAGCTGCTGCTCCACCGCGATCTCCAAGTCGAACTTGATATGGTCCACGCTGGCGATGATTTCCTGCATGGCGGCGGCGGCGGCCCACCGGCCCGGCTCCCCCTCAGTACCTCGCCGCTCTCACACCTCTACCTGCCTGCACCCGCCACCGCACACTATCCTCCTCCGCCTCGCCTCACCGCCGCCGCCGCCGCCACCGCCGCCGCCCGAGGAATGCCGGGAGCGCCCGGAGTCCGCGCCAGCCCCTCGCCTGTTCAGACAGGACAAATCGAGCGCGGAGTGCGAGCCGCTCCGCTAGGCCCCGCCAGCTGCCAGCCAAACGCGCGCCTCGCCTCGCGGTCGCGAAAAACCTGTATGCGGAGTTCGCAACGCCGACTGCGCCTGCGCGAGGTTTGGCTGGGGCGTGCGCCTCAGAAAGGGGGTCAGGAATAGAGAGCCAGAGGCGCGGCGGGGTGGTCACGTGGGACTTGGAGTGGGGCGCCGCGCCGCGGGCGTCGGAGCCGTGTTCACTGGGCTGGACTCGGAGTGAGTGCCTATTTGACCCTCACAGGAGCCTGGAACCTGGACGGAGACAGGCCAGACGGGCAGCGAGTGTCACGGCCGGGATTGAGCCGGGGGCGTCCCTGAGGAAACCGAGGCTCTAAAGGCCAGTGTAGAGGAGTCGGGTTGTCTTGAGGCTCCAGGGGATGTCCGGGGAGAGGCTGGTCCCCCAACTGAGAACAGCGGCAGCGTATCTCTAATTCAGGGGTTATTAGCCTGCGTAGACTAATGAACTTGGGTAAGAAGAAAATTGCACCTTTATTGTCTCAGAAATTGAGCATTTCCTTCCTTGACTAACGAGTAGCGTTAGCAGTACCCCAAACCCCAAAACTAAGTCGTGATTTCAAGTCGGGATGAGTGTAAATGATAGCTGGAGATAGAGTATCTACAACTACTACAAACTATCATTTCCACTCATTGCTACTTTAACATGATGATAGATAGGATCTTGTTTTAGTGTGTTGAAAAGAACCATATATACCTAGTATAACATTAAGTTTGTTTTAAAAATATCTGATACCTATCTCCGATTTTTTTTATAATCCTATGTATGTCATTTAATGCATGTAAACTAATGTGGCTAGTTGAAAATTTAAAATTACATATATGCCAGCATTGTTTCTATTGGCGTCTTTCTATTGCAGTCGCAAGCTTCACCAGACATGGAATGGTGAAGGCCCTCTGCACTAGTGTCACTAGGGTGCTAGTTAAGAGAGGCTGTCCTTGACCTGGGCCCAAAGCCAGCCCATTTCCACTGCTGGCCAGTCTTGCCCACAGCACTGCTACAGGGCCCCCAGCATGTCACTCCCCTACCTGGGCCTCAGTTATTAATCTGTTTAGTCTGCCGTCACCTCTGAGGTCTTTCCAATGGTGATCTGATATAACCAGACCTTAAAATATTTTCATGTTGGTTATTCTGATATCTTTTATGAAAGAGTTTTAAGTATGCACTGTCCTAGCACTGTCCAATAGTAAGATAATGTGAGTACTATGTAATTTTAAGTTTTCAAGTAGCCACATTAAATAAAGTAAAAAGAAATTGTGAACTTAATGTTAAATTTTCTTTAGCCCAGTGTATCCAGAATGTTATCATTTCAACATGTGAAATAATTGAGTGTGTGTTTTACATTGATTTTTTTGTACAATGTCTTTGAAATCTGGTGTGTATTTTATACTTATAGCACATCTCCAGATTATCCACATTTCACGTGCTCAGCAGCCACATGTGGCCAGTGGCTATCGTATTGGACAGCACAGCTCTAGCCCATTTGTCTATGACTTTTGCAGAAAAGAAGTGCTTGAGTTAGCTTTCCTGTGCAGAGGCCCAGAATGCCAACAGTTTTTTTCCTAGTAATTAATGATAATAGCTACAATTTTTTGAACACCTATTAACTGTCAGGCATTGTGTTAAAAACATCTCATTTAATCCTTATAATCTCGTGGTGAGGTGAGTGGGGTTATCCTTATCTTGTAGCTGAAGAAATTAAGGCACAGGAACGTCAAGCAATGGGCATAGTCACACAGCTCTGGCTAGGACTCAAACTCAGCTCTGATTTCAGCACCCATGCTCTTTGATCATGGTTTGATAATATCAATAGCTTATGTCTATTGAGTGCCTAATGTGCCAGCGCTGTGCTGCACACTGTATATCTGAGACCTCAATCATTGCCACAGTGCTGTGTGGGTGACATTATCGTTAACCCCAATTTACAGGCAAGGAGACTGAGGCCAGAGCATTGAGTGCCCAGGAACTCATGGATGGTTGTTTGGCAGAGCTGAAGTCAGAACCTAGGCCTTCTAACCTCAGGGCTCATGCTTGTAACCACTTCTCTGTCTGCCTTTTTGGACTATGAACCTGAGTTAACTTCATTATTTTTCCTATCTGTGCCAGGCCCTGGAGGTAAAAGCCAGAGATGGACCTTGTGAGACTCGCCCGGCTCTTTTCCAGCCCCTGCCCCATGGGACTGTCTGTCCTGCAATGCCTTCACCCTCTAAGAGCCAGGTGGGCAGGAGGTAGGGAGGGGCCTGCATGGCTGAGGACCATGGGGCTGACTGGGCCAACGTCAGCAGCCTTCAGCAGCTCGCTCTCTCAGCTGCCCCTCAGCCAGAGGAGACAGAAGAACACGCATGACCTCAATTCTGACCTGACCCAGCCCAGCCCCATGGCCAACCAGGAGGAAGAGGAGGAGGAGAGCTTTGGGACCCTCTCCGATAAATACTCTTCCCGGAGAATGTTCCGCAAATCAACAGCCCAGTTGTATAACCTGCGGCTCAAGGAACAGAGTGTTAAAGAAGATGAGGAAAGCGAGCTGGAGCTAAAATCATGGCAGGGCCGGAGAAACACCCCTTACTGGTACTTCTTTCAGTGCAAACACCTGATCAAAGAAGGAAAGGTGAGGGAACTTTTGGATTCTGCTGCTCCTGGCTCCTACATCGCTGGGTAGCCCAGTACTTGGTAAGGGGCCCCTCTGCCTTCTCAATCTATAAAGGTTGGGATGCTCAGGTCTCTTCTCCCCCTGTCTTTACTCACCCTTGAGTGCTGTACCAGGTGAGCCACCAGCCTCCTGGCTTTCAGTGCCCCCTCTTCACTGCAGCTCTTGTATTTGTATCTCCAGCCTGGACTTCCTGGGGACTCTGAATCTGTGTATCCAGTTACCTCCTCATCATCTCTCTTACTGTTACCCACATGGACCTGAAATTTTTGTTCCCTATCTTGTTTTCCCTACACTTTCTTCATCTCACTAATTGGCAACTCCATTATTCCATCTTCCCAAGCCAAATACTTTCAGGTTATTCCTAACTCTTCTCTTTTTCTCACCAACTTCAACATGTTGCCAGTCCTAACACTTCTCATAATCCTACCCCTGAATGCCCATGCTTAGCCTGCTGTTTGCTCCCCGAGCTGTTTTGCTGGTCACTGGTCTCCCCACTGCTTTTGTGACCTCCTGCCTGGACGTTGGCTCACAGCACAGAACCGTCCAGTTAAAGCAAAAAGCAGAGGGCCGGCCGAGTGGCGCATTTAAGAGCTGGCTTGGGACGCCAGAGGGCCCCGGTTCAGATCCCACATATGAGGGCCAGTGACACTGCCCTTTACAGCTAAGATGCTAAAAAACAGCTCAACCTGGAGCTGGGCTGCCATGAGTCGCCAGTGACGGCAGGTGGGTTGCCATGGGCTACCGTGTATAGCCAGCAGCCAGTGTGAGTGGCCAGCAGCTGCAGTGAGCAGCCGTCCAGAAACCGGGGACTGATCTGCCTTGCCTGGGAAGAGCACAATGATGGTACCAACTTGGGCCAGTGAAGCAATGTCCTCCACAACTAGACTGAAGAACAAAAGGACAGCAACTTGTCTGTTCCCCTTCCCCCAATTCCCCAATAAAAATATTAAAAAAAAAAAAAGGCAAAAAGCAGATAGCATTACTCTTCATCAAGAGTTCCAGTGTAGTCAGTGACATTGAAAATATTCACTTTCTTAAGTCTTGATAATGGTATTCATTTATGTTTAAAATTCTCTTAGAGGTACGTGTTGAAGATTTTATGAATGAAATGACATCTGGAATTTGCTTTAAAAAATTTTGTTTGGAGAAGTGCAGTGTATAGAGATGAAACAAGACTGGCCAAACATTAATAATAGTAGTTAGCATTCTTCTCTCTACTTTTGTGTATATTTGAAATTTTCCGAAATGAGAAGTTGAGAAATAAAGAGAAGCCAGAGTCCTCACAGTGGTTTGTGAGGCCAGCAAAATTGGCCACTACCTCTCTTCACCCCTCGCCGGCTTCATCTCCCCATTTACTTTGCTGCAGCCACTCCAGTCTCCTCTGCTCCTCCCCAGGCATACTCCTGCCTCAGGAACTTTGCTCTGGCTGTACCATCAGATAGCGAAGGGGCTTCTTCCCTCACCTCCTTCAGATCTTTGTTCACCTGTCACCTTCTGGGTGAGGCCCTGCTTGGCTGTCATATCTAAAACCGAATCTCCCAACCCTTCTGGCACTTACTGCTTCATTTTTGTTCATAGCACATTTGACATACTATATATTTTTTTTGGTTATCTAATTTGATGTCTGTCTTTCCACACCAGAAGATAAGCTCCTTAAGGGAGCTCCATCTTGTTCTCTGCTGTATCCTCAGCAAATAGATCTTGCCTGGCACATAGTAGAACTCAGTAACTACTGGTTGAATGCATGGATGAAAAAAAAAAAAAGGAATAAAGGAGTGAAGCAAGGATTTAAAGGGGGATGGTTTAGGGGTGGGGGTGGGGCAAAACAGCTGTGGGCCAAGGGAGTTTGCGATCGGAGGAAGCTCATCACCCAGAGCTGCCGCCCTATACCATCTCAAGAGGCTGTTGCTATGAATGGCCCCCTGTGATTGTGCAGCACAGTGGCTCTGAGCATGCTCACCAAACTGATCAGAACCCAGCCTCCCGTCCAGCTCAGACCCAGGGGACAGGCCTATGGAAGGGGTCACCAAGGAAGCAAGGGCAAGACAGGTCCTGAGATTCACAGAACTAACATTTTCTGAGGACCTAGCGTTCCAGGCCCTGGCTTCACAGTAGGTCTACGGAGAGGCAAAGACATCTTTGGCCCTTGCCCTCAAGGAGTTCACCCTCTGGCTGGAGGGAAGGTAGCCACAGCAGTGGGGTTGAGAGTTCCCA